TATTAGATATTAATCATAGTATTTCAAAAGATGTAGGTAAATCTACCCCTCAAAAAAAGGGGGGCCAGGGAGATACCTCAGAGGGTGGGAACATGGGCCTGGCTGGCAAAAGGCCCTGAGTTTGACCACTGGTACTACCAGACACCCCAAAAGCCCCCATGCACTGCATTGTAGGTGTGTCCTGGGTGGTCTCGAGCACTGTGGGCTGTGAGCATCACTGGCCCCAAGGGTTGAAACTTCTGGCCTCATCCAGGCTTAGATTCACTATGGGGGACCCTCAGACCTGCTGAGAACACCACTTGGGATACCTAAAATCTAGACAAAAAATATCATTACCCAGATGTTCCCACTGGTTGGGCAAAGCAGACTCCTATCTGCACAGTGTCACTGCACAGAGTTTTCTGAGTGTGCTGACCCCCACAGGGACACAGGGGCCTCCTCACAGCCCTCCATGGCCTCTTTCTAGCAGAACTGCTTGCAGCAGACCCAACAAAGTTTGGTAGGCACCAAGGATGGTTGCAGAAAGATATAGATTCTCCGCTATTATTTGTGAATCCGAGAGCAAACTGACCTAGTTAGGTTGCTATGGATACGGTACTCCTGAACTTAGCGATATTCCCTGAAGAAGAGGCAGCTCCGCTCGACAGAACGCAGAAAGCCAGTAGGAGTCTCAGGTCCGGGAGGGGAAGAAACGGAGATGGTGAGCCCGCTGGGAGAAGATGAGGATTTCCGGCACCACCTCAGCACGAGTGAAGGGATGGCCTCCGACGGGCGCCAGGACCAGCTTTTCGAAGTCTCTCGACTGCTTCAGTGACTTCGACAAAGCCAACTCTTTGCAGCGGATTAAAAGCACACTTCCCCAAGTCATCCACCAGGAATACTTTTTGCCTCTAAACTAAACAAGCATTGCGTGTACTTGGAGTCAGCAGATTGAGCTTTCGGGACAAACGAGTTCCTGCCCAAATGAAACCTAGGAGAAATGGAAAAGAAAACGCTATGGAGGTAGAAGAACAGAAGAGCGTTCCTTTGAACTAGAGTCTCTAGGACGCGACATACACTCCTACGTGTACAGATAATACTGTGGCGTGCACATGTCAGGCTCAAGTATTAGATTTCCTTTTGCGGAACATGTGTCTGAGTTGATCGTAATTATAATTACGAATGAAATAGGAATTTCACAGCCTTCAACTGAAGTTCTTAAAAATACTGGTAATTCTAGCTCAGGAGTAGATATTAATACCAATTATCTCCAAATTTTAGGAAACAGAGATGGGAGAAATTGGAGGGGCTCTGGATAAAGAACGTCTCTGAATTCTCCCTGGAAAATGAGAAGCTTGTTGCTCTGTATCAGGTGTGTTGACCGAGTGACTGTTCTATTGGAATAATTGAGAAATTAATTCTGGGAGGTAGCAAACAGCTAGAATTTGAATCTCGTGATATGCCTTATGTCATTATAGAGGCAGGTTTCAAAATTTCGACAGAATCTTTTTTCCCTTTTGTAGATGACTTTGACCTAACTAGACTACCCCTAGCACTTGCAAAGACTCTCCTCTTCCCAAGATATGTTTCCTCGTGCCCCTCCCCCACAACCTTGAAAATCTTGTAACAGATGATTCATTACCGCTGAGACCAAGGCCCCAGTGTGATCATATGTCATAGCTAAAATTACACGAGTCAAGAGAATAAAGACATCGGAAGGTTTCGCTCCTGCTGGCCTTGTCCCATCCATTGTCTGCTGACAGCACCATTATGCCGAGGCATGGCCAGTGCATGAACAGGAATTGTGGCTTTCAGAAAGCGTCATGGGGGTTATAAAAACACGGCACTGAGATAGCGGCCCCCGTGAACAATTTATAGTTGAATCGGGAACTCCTGGGGGGGTGGTGTGACATCCTTGTCATGTCACCAATGCATCACTCGGAGGAGGTGATATTCTCTGGTTTCTCTCCCTTCAGGAGAGAATGAAGGGAGAGAAGGCCCTTGGCCGTGAGCATCAGGCAGGCAGTGCGGTCAGACTCGGGCAGGAATGGGTGGGCTGCAGTGCCTCAGCTGCTCTGCCGACCCCACGGGAAGCAGCCTTGGAGCTCAGAGGGGTCGTGTGTGCACAGAGCCCCTCCACCGTGCTGGCCAGGAAGGGGGGCATGTTTCAGCTGAGAGGACTGAGGATGTTTAACTGGATCTCAGAGCATGACTAGAAGTTACAGAATGAGGAGGATGAGTCCAAATGAAAAGGCAGCAGGGGCGAGAGAGAGCAGATTCCGGAAGGCGCCCTGGACCCCCACGAGCTTTGAAAAGATTGATCTCGGGGAAAGTGTGTGTGCACTGCACACAGCTCCATGTGCTTCCGTGTGTCTCTGCCCCTGGATGCCCTGGTGGCAGGCAGACAGGGTACCCCGACGCCCGGCCCCACAGGAGACCCCAGCACTGGCCCTGCCCACCGCAGTCAGGAGAGGCCTCCGCTCCCCCGCCGGCTGGTGCTCCCCACTGCCTCCCCAGGTTTCGGGGCACTGTGGGGTCTGGGCCAGCGGCTCTCTGCATGGTGACATCTGTGCCTCAGCCCTGTTAGCACATCAAACCAGGCCAGTGTCCAATTTTACTTTTCTTAGCTTACAGGTTTTTTTAAAAAAAAAAATTAATGAATCTCCGTGAGAGACTCAGTTACAGACTTACAAACTTTCGTGAATGTTTTAGTCATACAATGATCCATCCCTCCATCAATGCCCATTCTCCACAACCAATGGTTCCAAAGTCCCCCCCCCCACCCGCCAGCCCACCCCATCACCCCAGTTTCTGTGGCAGGCACACTCCCTCTTACTCTCTCTCTTCTTCTGGGTGTTGTGGTTTGAAATACAGGCATTACGTGGCCATCATGTTCAGTCTATAGTCTACTTTTAGGCATCTCCCATTCCGAGCAAGCCTTCCAAGTATCCTTTACTTGGTGGTCCCTTCTGTATCTGAGCTGCCTCTTCCCCCAGCATGTAAAACTGGCTTCCAAGCTGTGGAGCAATCCTCCTGGCCCTTATGTCTTCTATCCTTGGGTGTCAGTCTCCCATTTTGTTACTTTATATTTCACAGAGGAACAAAGGTATGCGGGTCCCAGGGCTGAGATCTCCAAGCCTGCTCGGATCGGGGCTGAACATCCTCCACCCAGATCCTCCATCTTCCAGTAGGCAGAGGTCACACCTACCAAGTGCCCCCTGGCGCCGTGTAATCCCATCAATGGCCAAGACCCAGAGACTATAAAACCCAGCTCCCCGAATGCGGCTGCGGACATCTTATTATCTCATTCCTCTGCCCCTCTCAGAGAGCCCGGCAAGCTACCCAGAGTATCTCGCCCACACTGCAGGGCCTGGCAAGCTCCCCGTGACATATTCGATATGCCAGACACAGTAACAACAAAGTCTCCAATGGAGACATTACTGGGCCCGCTCGAGCAAATCGATGATCAACAGGAGGGCCTTTACCTTTTTTACCTTTACTTTGGAAAACCTGGCAGGCTACCAAATGTAACCAGCCCACACGGCAGAGTCTGGCAAACTCCCCGTAGCATACCCAATATGCCAAATACCAGTAACAATGATCTCATTCTCCTAACCCTGAAAGAGCCTTGAATATAGCACTTTTTAAAATCTCAGGGCTAGGACGAAGGAGATGTTACTGGTGCCTGCTTGAGGCAATTGACAAACAACAGGATGATCATTATTGTGATATTCCACAAATGAGCACAGCTTACAGTTTTTAATGGCCCCTGACAAGGGTTTCGCAGGCTGTGTCCCCGACCCCTCACTCCCCGCAGACATGGCACCCTGTTGTAATCTCTGGCAGTACACTCGGGGATCAGGTGAGCACGCGCCATCAGATCCTGTACACAGACGTCTATACCACATTAGAATATAATGAAAAAGTTCTTGACGTGAGTCAGAAATGCTTATTTCACATCATAGTGAACGTGCCCTTAAAAGCATATATTGAAAGTACATTTTAAAAAGACTATCAATTATCTTAAATAAAAACCATTGAATAGGACCAGCTATATATAGCTGTCTGTATAGTGGGTGAAGCTTTGTCATTTATCTTTTAAGATAATTATGCAAATTGTATTCAGCCCCCACACACTTTTTTTTTAATCTCCTCTTCCTCCTCTACCAGCCTTGTCTAAGGAGAGTGAGGCTCAGTTTGGAAAGGGCAGCGCAAGCCTGGGTTGTGAGGGGCCGTTGACGACACACGAGAACGGCCTCCTTAGGGGCCCCTTTGCTTTAACGAGGGCGCCCAGAGCTCCCCGTGCCTCCCCGCACGCTCCAAGAACTTCCCCTGGAGAAATCTAAACCGGTTCGAAGAAAACAACTTCATGGATATGAATGGGAGGCGCCCCCTCCCGCAGTCCTTCCTGCCAGCCTCGCCCTGGCCTTCTCTGTGTCCAGCCGCTCCTTACCTCTGCCCTCTGGCTGTTCTGAGACCACAGGCCCTGAGCAGCCTCATCTCCTGGGGAGCAGGCAGTGGACAGTGGGTATAGGACGGGCAAGGAGAGGAGGAAGGAGAAGGTTGGCCCCGGGGCCCCTCCTCTGCTCTCCTGCGGGAAGAACCCCCCTTCTGCAGGAATGCAGATGCCAACGGGGGGAGACTGGGCCGAGAGCAAGACGAGGCCCTAGGTGGCCCTTAGGACCATTGTGACCTTCCTGCTGGGAGCAAGGCCCTTCCCCCGGGGCCCTCGCCCCATCACCCTCCGGGACAGGAGTCCAGCACCCAGCCACACCCGCCTTGCAGGTGGCAGCTCCGGCCCCCACCCGCGGCGGGCACAAAGGGGTTTGTGTTTGCTCGGGCGGTGCCCAAGGCCCTGCTTTGCTTGGCCAGGAGCGGGGCTGGGCTCTCAGGTAACAGGTGCAGTTTCCCTGCAGCGGGAGTGACCTCATCGGGGCGGGGCCAGGCTGCTCACAGGTGGCAGGCACTGCCAGGGAAGCCCAGGGCAGCTCGCCCGGCCCCAGCCAGACCCCGCCAGCCCCATGGAGCCCAGAGACCCCGCGGGGAAGGAGGGCCTGGGTGCCCGGAGGAAGAACCTGCACTTCCTACGGCTCTACATGCTGGAGCGGCGCAAGACGGACACGGTGCTGGAGGGCAGCGCCCCGGGGGAGCGCTCGGGGCCCCTGAGGAGGACCCAGTCGGACAGGAGCGAGTACAGTCAGAAGCTGCAAGGTAACCCAAGTGCGCGTGCCCGGTGCATGCAGTGTAGGAGGAAAGGAAACGCCGGCTCATAAGCCACAGGGCAGCTTTGGGGGGTGCCTCAATAGGTAAAGAACATTTCAAAATTGTTCTGGTCACGTCTCCTTGCCTCGGGTGAGAATGATATTTTCTCCACTTCCTTCCCTTCCTCCCTTTAGCCCGTAAGTGGGAGCAGATGAAGGAGACTGGGAAGGGCTGAGCGGCACGGTTAGTTGGGTGACTACGGTTAGGTGGGTGATGGCTCTGGACAGGATGAAGGTGACGGAGGGGGCTGCAGGCTCAGAGCCCAAAGTCCCCAGGACAGGGGAGAGTGAGGACTGGTCCAGGGCTGATTGAGAATCCCAGGGCTCCTTCCTCCAACAAGGGGCTCCCTGGCAGGGGTGCTGCGCATGCTTGCAAGAGATGGCTTTTGAGGAAATAACTTCATTTTACTTTGTGACGGCCACCAGATAATGTTACACCGAATCTCTCATCCCCATCCACCATCTATTTCCGTTCTCCTTTTAAAGGTCACTTGCTGTAATCAACTTTGATATTGATATTGTGCACTTTAGAAACAAATGGATTCAGTCCTTTCTTTTGGCATCTCAACCTCCTCCTCCTCCTCCTCCTCCTCTCCTCTTCCTCCTCTTACTCCTCCTCTTCCTCCTTTTGGTTTTTGGGCTACACCCAGCGATGCTCAGGGTTTCCTCCTGGCTCTGCACTCAGAAATCACCCTGGCATGGCTTGGGGATCATATGGGATGCCAGGGATCACATCCAGGTCACCACATGCCAGGCAAACACCCCCCTGATGTTCTATTGCCCCAGTCCACCCCACTGTATCGGTGATATTTCTGATGCCCGATGATATTCCTCACACACCTGAGTGCCAGGTTTCCCCTGCCACATCCGTCACACGCAGAAGGGGAGCAACAATATCCTTTGGGAATCTTCACATTGGCCATACCTGCACAGCCACTCTCAGTGATCTGAGGGACCACATCCGGCTGCGCTGAGTGGCGGGAAGATTCAGCTCCAGGGCTCAGGCTCTGGCCTCGCACCTGGCAGCATGCACGACCCTGCTGGGTCACTGCCTGCCCACCAGGCACATTTCTAGGGTCACTGAGTTCTCATTCTGTGCTGACCTGCTCAGATGCTATGCCAGAGCCATCCGGAGCTGAAGGCGGCCAGCAGGCTGGGGCCAACGGGCAGCCTCTCAGAGTTCACCTCTTTCCCCCAGACACCCCAGAACAAAGGTGGGGACCCGAGAGATAATACAGGGTTCAGTGCTGCCTTGCAGGCACTGATCCGAGTTTGATCCCCTCACCATATATGCCTCCCAGCCCAGGAGTCAGCCTGAGCACCCAAGCTGTGCCCTGCACCCCGAATCCAGTTCCAGGCTTATGCCTCAAGAATCTTCTAATAAAGGAGGAAAGGATATTGTTTCATCTTTGAAATTAATCGTGCTGATGACAGTAGATGCGTCAAAAAGAACGTGCATTTCAAAGTCACCAACCTTTAACTTCCAATCCTGGCGCTCCAATATATCATCTCTAAGACTTAGAATAAAGTCCTTGAAATTTGTGGAGATGGAGCGACAGTTTAGCAGGTAGGGCATGTGCCTTGCACTCGGCCCGCCTGGGTTCAATTCCAAACATCCCATGTGGTCCCCTGAGGAGGATCACTGTCACTGTCCAGGTGGGAGTGAGTCCTGAGTACAGGGCCAGCAGTAACCCCTGAGCACAGTGGGGTGTGACCCCCCAAACAAAAACAAAACAAAGCAAAGTCCTCAAAATTTGAGCCTCAGTTTCCTTATCTGCAAAAGTGGGGACGTGATGCTTGAAATAGATATCACAGCTGAGGGAAAGGAATTAGATAATCTGGTGAAACACCCTGTGTGTTTCTGACACAGTAAGTATTAATGAATAGTAGATGTCATAAATTTTATGAAAAACGGATACTTTACAGATAGAACAGGATTTCCCCCTATTAATCAATCTAAAGACACTAACCTATACATGTACCTCATCTCTTTTCTGTACTTTGATGAAAAGATCATATAGAAGCACGGGAGGAGCTCCTGCTTTATTCTGAACAGCATGCTAAATTCTGCCTAAAATTCCCAAATTCAGCGTCTTTGGGGTTCCGATTTTTTATTGGCATAAGGTAAATGAGAATTGCCATTTTGATATTTACTTCTTAACAGGACGAAAAAGTCAAGTCTGTGTTCACAGCATAGCAGGTGTGGGTGGGCCACCTTGTAACGGGGATCAGGTATGGATGGGTCACCTTGTAATGGGATCAGGTGTGGGTGGGTCACCTTGTAACAGGGATCAGGTGTGGGTGGGCCACCTTGTAACGGGGATCAAGATCATGCAATGGGCTGGATTCTGCCGGGTCTGACTGTGGCGGGGGGCCAGACTCACTGGTAACCCATGGCTACAGAAAAGGCTCAGGGAGAGTGGATCCCACGGCCACACTGAGTCTGGGCTAATTTTTTTTAATCCATACCTATTTTTGCTTATTAATTGTTGCTGCTAACGCAAATCACAAAGCACAGCCCTCATTCCAAAGAAGTCGGTAGGGCATCCTATTTGGCAGAGGCAATTACAACGCTCTCATCAGGAAAGGATTGATCGGGGCCTGGAGGACACTTGCTCTGTCTGAGGCTGAGTTAGAACCCCTGGGTGTTTTATCCCAACACTAAGAAAGAAAAAAATATTAAGGCATTGATTATCTATTTTTATTCTAACCTAAAGTGAACCACTAACCTGCATGAACTTGCTACGAATGACATTTTAAAGGCTCAGATAACAAGTTGGACTTGGTCCAATTGTGGAAGTATTTCATTTGCAATGGTTTAAGACGACAGTGATCTAGAAGTGGCGGAAGGTAGCCTTGACCCTGAGGGTTTAGGGCTCTCTCAAAGGCCTTGGGCTGACAGTGGAATCAAACAAACTGCCAGGCCGCCTGCGTTTCTGTTGGGATACAGCAGGTCTTGTTCCCTTTGGTACCAACCCCTCCCCTCCCTGCTCTACACACCCTTGGTACAAGGGCAAGTGCCTGGATCTGTAAGGTGACACCAGTACAAATAAGGTGCATTCCTAGTCTGAAGGGCAAATCTTTATCAAAAAGCAACTTTAAAACTAAGCATTTTCTGCCCCAATTGATAGAGAGAAACCAAAAAAACAGGCATTATTTCATTCTCCTTCTCAGAAAGTTTTAAAGGTGTGAGTCTATGGGCGAGTCTCAGAGTGGAGAAAGTTTGAATTATTCCAGGAACACACTGTGATAGGGAAACTCACTGTTGTCCGACATGATGCTGGTCACGTGATCTTCTTATAGGTGACAAATGCAGCCTTGAACTGTGCTCTTTCACCAGAGAAAGTACAGGTTTGATTGAACCTGGGGTTTCCACATATAAACCATATGCTCCAGTCTTCTGAGCCATCTCCTCAGCCCAATCTGGGTAACTTTAAGAATATGATGAGAATACGAGACTGATACCTAAGGACAGTAGAGACAAGGGCCAGGAATATCACTCCTCGGTTGGAAGCCTGCCTCATGAACTGGGAGCGAAGGCAGCTGGGATAGAGAAGAGATCACTAAGTCAACGATGGTTGGAGGGATTGTTCGGGATGGGAGATGTGTGATGAAAGTAGATAAAGGATCAAACATGATAACCTCTCAGGGTCTATATTGCAAACCATAATGCCCAAAAGTAGAGAGAGAGTACGGGGGAATTGTCTGCCATGGAGGGGGGTGGTGGGGTGAGGTGGGTGTGGGGAGGGATACTGGGGATATTGGTAGTGGAAAATGTGCACTGGTGGAAGGATGGGTGTTTGATCATTGTATGACTGAAACTCAATCATGAAAGTTTTGTAACTGTAGCTCATGGTGATTCAAGAAAGAAAGAAAGAAAGAAAGAAAGAAAGAAAGAAAGAAAGAAAGAAAGAAAGAAAGAAAGAAAAGGTTTGTCAACACCTGAGAGGGGAAACCAAAATCAAGAGGGAGGGAAGGTGTGAGCGATGGACAGAAGAGTAAGATCAAAATGAAGAGTCAGGTGAAAGGACTGTTTTTGCGATGCCCATCTGTGAACTGGACGGGAAGGTCACTGTGCCTGTCCAAGGATGGCTGTTGTGGGGAGCCGCCCCCGGGAAAGCCAGGAGGCCCTGAGGAGCGCTGCCCTGTCCATTCTTCCCTCGCCAGTGCAGGCCTGACAGAGTGGGCTGTTGGTGGGGGCAGCAAGACCACAGCCAGAGCTGCTCGGGCAGGCCCTGGGGCCACAGCGGGCCTCGACCTCACAATGCCAAGCAGTACCCTACTGCGGGACTGGCCCACCTGACCTCTCCTCGGGTGCCATGCCTTCGTGCCCCTTCCTACACCTGCTCCATTGGCTGCTGCCAGATTTTCAAGTCATTGCTGAAACGAATCAGATCTTTATGAGACTCAGTCAAATTTTGTTTTCTGAGAAGCCCCCAAAGAGATGAGAGTTGGGAACTGATACAAGATCTTCACGAGGGGGAAGGAAGACATGGCAGGAACTCTCAGAAGCACAGGGGAAGGTGGGAGCAATAACATGTCACTGGGGGTGACTGCAGTTCCTGTTAAAAGCACCAGTCTTCCTCTGCTGAGGAAGCAGGGAAACATTTATGGCAATGAGGTCCTTGAGACAGTCCTTAGACGAGAGGAATGAGGTGAGCATCTCCCTGTGGCAGCTGTTCAGAATGAGTAGCACCTGTCAGGGTGTGTTTGGGGTATGGCATCCTGAGTTCCCCAGGCCACAGAGCCAGGACTTGAACTCAGAGTCTCTAAGCGTTGGCAGTGGGGTGCATATGCCCCATTGTCTGGGAACGTGTTAGTCTGTGGGAGTCTGTCAGTATCAGAAGCGGAGCATTTGATCGCCACAGGGTGCGTTATGATGTGATAACATTCTGCTGACCTGTCTCTCACTTTGGAACACTCTTCCTTGGGGTTAACGTGGCATTCACC